CTTCAATAAGGAATACTTAACAAATTTCCACATCTGATCAGTATCTTGATGCATTTCTTTAGTTTAATCTCTTAAACTCTTTGTGAGCCAACCTGTTTTTTACTTGCAACTACCCTTTTCCTTCAATAAGGAATACTTAACAAATTTCCACATCTGATCAGTATCTTGATGCATTTCTTTAGTTTAATCTCTTAAACTTTTTGTGAGCCAACCTGGTTTTTTACTCGCAGCTACCCTTTTACTTCTATAAGGAATATTTAAAAATTTATCTTTAAAAACTTTTCCATATTTGATTAGTATCTCCAAATAGCCCAGCTGCCTAATTCACAACAGATAATTCTTGTTGCATCCCTTCAGAATTTGCTTTTTTGAAATCTGTGACCAAAACATCATTATTTCTTATCTCTATATGCAGCAAAACATCAAACCTAATAGAGCAATAATCACTTGTTCCCCAGTTTCCATCATCTTGATCATTTTTATATTTGAAGTTAACAATAAATCTAAAATAGCATTGTTTCTAGTAGGTTCCTTGACTAATTGGTGAAGAAAGACATCTTGAACAGTTTCCAAAAACCTTTCTCCCTCATAGTTTGACTCTATAATTTTCCAGTCTATATGCCTGAAATTAAAATCACCTATAATTATGACTTCATTAACAGCTGAAATCTTAATCTCATTGTAAAGTATCCCATTAATTTCATCAGTATCATCTGGTGGTCTGTAACAACTTCCCACTGAAAGCCTTTTCCATTTATATCCACCAATAGAAACCCAAATGGATTCAATTTCCTTGTTATTATCTTTGATACCCTGAACTTCAACAGGATGTTACTCACATTTTACCTATAAAGCCACTCCTCCCCCCTCTTTCATACTCTTATCCCTTTTAAATAACCCATAACCCTGTATTTCAAAGACATTTCTGTCCTCAAAATCATCTACGTTTCACCATGTTTCAGTTTTTTCCCATTATTTTGAAATCCTCCATTCCTACCAGTGCTCTAAAGTCTTCTAATTTATTTCTTATACTTCTAGCATTCCAATAGTAACAATTTAGCCTATCCTTATAGCTACTTTTATATTCA